CCCCCCCCGGGGGCCCCCCCCGGGGGGCCCCCCGCCTGGGGGCCCCCCGGGGGGCCCCCCTGGGGCCCCTCCGGCAGCCGCAAGTCCAAGTGGAAGTCTGTGGAGAACCAGGAGGGAAAAGTATAATACTCATAGTCCAGCAGCAAAGGAAAAAGAGCAGCAGCAGACAAAGCTTCGAAGACTTGCTGCAGCTGCTGCTGCTGCGAGATGCCCTGCAGCGAAGGCTCCAGCAGCTCCAGGGGGCCCCTCAGGGGGGCCCCCTCGCCCTTTGCATGCGCCAAAAGCCCCAAAAAGGGTGCATGCAGGAAGTCTTGCTGCTGCAGCACTTGGGTGACCACTGGTCTCTGGCGGGTGACCACTGCAGCAAGCAGCTGCTGCTGCGGGCCCCACACTTTGAGTTCTCCCGTGTCTCCGTGGGGACTGGTCTCTTTGAACTCGAAGGTCAGCTGCTGCTGCTGCAGCAGCGGCAGCCGCTGCAGCAGCGGCAGCCGCCGCAGCAGCCCGCGGCGCTGCTGCAGCAGCAGCAGCGCCCCCGGCTGCTGCTGCAGCACTTTCTCCACGAAAAAGCGCAGCAGCACCCCCACCACTTCTGTCTTTTGTGTCTCCTTTAAAGCTTCTCCAACTGTCTCCTTTTCTGTCTCTTTTACTTTTTCTCTTTCCACTTTTGCTGCCAGCAGCAGCAGCCCCTCGAACCCGTACACTGCAGCAGCAGCGCCGCGGTACAGCAGCAGCCGGTACTGCCGGCTTGCTGCAGTCCACTGCTGCTGCCACGCCCAGCAGGGGGCCCCCTGGGGGCCCCCCGGGGGCCCCTGGGGGCCCCCCGGGGGCCCCTCCTCCTCGGGGGGGCCCCCCTCCTCCGGGGGGCCCCCCTGCTCCTCCGGGGGGCCCCCCTGCTGCTGCGGGGGGCCCCCCTGCTGCTGCGGGGGCCCCCGGGGCAGCACCCTGGCGAGGGTAGTGTTGAAGAGCAGCTGCTGCAGCGGGGACCTTGCTGCAGCAGCAGCAGCAAAAGTGTGGGGAGGGTTTAGAGTGGCGAGGACTTGTGGGGTGAAGGCAGCAAGAAGGGCCTCGTAGAAGAACTTGAGGCCCTTGGGATCGAAGGCCCGAGGCGATCCCAGGTAGTGCTGCAGCAGCTGCTGCTGCAGCGCAGCAGGCCGCGCGAGCAGCCGCTGCGGCAGCTCGCGAGCAGCAGCAGCAGCAGCAACACTGAGGGCCCCCGGGGCCCACAGCTCCAGCGAGTGGGCCAAAGGGCCCAGCACAGCCTGCAGCAGCTGCAGCAGCACGGGGGGCGCATGCATGCGGACTTGCTGCTGCAGCAGCGCAGCAGCAGGCTGCAGCGCTGCTGCAGCACGAAAGCCCTGCAGCCCCCAGTCCACCCCCGTCAGCCGCAGCAGCAACTTGTTCAGTGCTGCTGCATTCAAATAAGAATTGGAGACAGAAGAAATAATTGTCTCTTCAATTTCAGCAGCAAAGCCCAGCAGCGTGTGGCTCAGCAGCTGCGGCAGCTGCAGCTGCTGCACCAGCAGTTCTGCTGCGCTGCGGCTCGCGGGGGCCCTTGCTGCTGCTGCTGCTGCTGGCAGCAGCTTCGTCAGCAGCAGCACGTCGGCCCCCAGGTAGCAGCTCGCAGCAGCAGCAGCAGCCACCACCAGGGGCCCCACGCCCCCGGGGGCCCCCCCCTCCCCGGGGGGCCCCCCGGGGGCCCCCAGGGGGGCCCCCCGCCGCTGCAGCCAAACCCTCAACGCGTAGGGCCCCGCCCAACCCACCGCCCGCTGCAGCAAACCCTTAATTAGGGTTTCTATCAGGGGGGCCCTCACTAACTGCCGAAATAAAAGAGACCCAAACCGGGGGCCCCTCAACTCCGAGAGCAGCAGCGCAGAAATGGGCGGAGGAGTCATTTCTGAGTTCAAACAAATCTTTATTTTATTTTATTTTATTTTATTTTAATTTAATTTCTTTTTTAATTAATTTTTTGTTTTTTAAGTGGTTAAGTGGTTTGAAGGGTTTAAAGGATTTAAAAGGTTTGAAGGAGTTAAATGGTTGGAAAGATTAAAAGATTTAAATAACTATTTCTCCAAAGATTCAAAATTTTAAATAATTAAATTATTCGGGTGATTTAGATTATTTAAAAGATTAAAAGATTTAAAATAAGATAAGCATTTCTTCTCGCCATTGGCATGCTAGTAACTAACCAAATAGCTAGATAAATAGCTCATTAAAAAGACAATTAATTAATTAATTAATTAGTTAATTAAATATTTAAATTAAATTACAAATATTTATTAATAAATTGATAAATGGAGCTCTTTGAAAGTTCATAAACATTTCCTCTCGCCATTCTCTGTAAGACTTTGACTTGCTAGTAACTAACCAAATAGCTAGATAAATAGCTCATTAAAAAGACAATTAATTAATTAATTAATTAGTTAATTAAATATTTAAATTAAATTACATTAATTTATTAATAAATTGATAAATGGAGCTCTTTGAAAGTTGTATTTGTAAAGGAGAGCGGTATCTCTGTAAGACTTTGACTGGGTAGTAACTAACCAAATAGCTAGATAAATAGCTCATTAAAAAGACAATTAATTAATTAATT